GTTGCGAATACAGTAATATGTTTCACATAAGTTAATATACAAAATATATATAATGTTCAGTTAACTACTGTATACTGTATGTAATGGCAGAGGAAAAGCATACAATTTATCCGCGAAATTAATTATTGAAATTTATTGTTAGCAATAATTTCTTATCAAATTTCTTTTAATTTATATTTATTTGGTGTTATATTTCAAATCATTATTTATATCAAAAAGATTTTTATTAAAATAGTAGTAATAATAAAACTAAATAAAAACTTATTTACAGAAAGTCTTTATTTCTATTCAAATTTCAAGACTCTATAGAAAGTTAAGCAAAATTGTAAAGCATTGAAACAATGATAAAGTAGTAAAGAATAATTATTATTCAAAAATGACCATGTACAGTATAGTGGATAATTAGTATTTCAAACAATACATACCCAGTCTCCTTTTTATTGTGAACAACACTTGTACGCACGTAAAATTTCCTGAAAATATATTAAATAAAAATGTGATAATTGTTTGTAAACTAATAATGTGTTTTACGATTTCTACATTTACTATATACACAAATTTTAAAACTATAAAAGTATTATTCTCTAAATTCTATGTTAAAACACAAATAAATATTTTAAGAATAATGTATATTTTGTTATTTATTAAATTATTTGTCATATAATATAATATTTCATTAATATATTCAACCTAATAATATTAGATAATATATATTATATAATATTTCATATACAGTACATGTAAACTTTATGTGTTTCTTTACATATTGCAAAATATTTATATAATTATAATTCATATTATTTATTAATTAAATGCTTTTAATAATCGTAATGTAATATTTGTATAATTTGTTTAATAACTCTTTAAAGTGTTTATTTTTCATTAATATGAATTTAAAGAGAGTTAAATAATTTATGTAATATCTAATAATTTATTTAATCACTTTCATTATGTTTATGATTTTACGCAATTCTAAAAATACCAATTTATTTAATAAGCGAAAAGTGATTAAACATTTCCCATAGTGTCTGCGCTATTGATATGAAAAATTGGCAGATATTAGCTTCACTTAAGCATAAAAAGGCATTTCGTTTGGCATAAAAGTATGGAAATTCACACAAAAAATATAAATAAACTTAAAAATTTTCTCATTAGTTGTTTGGCCGCACTTTTTCTTACTGTAAGGGACTTATGAATAGTGATATCATGTGTTAAAGTCTGGATTATCATCAGATGAGAAGCAAACAACTATTTTAATACTGAAAATATCATTTAAAATGATGTTATGCTAAGCGTCGACATAAATGGCATTTTGTATTCAAAAAGTTTTTGCATTTATTATTCTTTAAATTTAGAGGAAATTAAAATTTTTAAGAGCAGAATATTCTCCGCCCATAAACTAATCGCTGTTTTTCTAATGAGATTATCTATTAGAGTATACACTAATTTCTATGACTTAACTGTACTTTCATTATAAACGCTGTATTATTGGGCGTTAATGCTATAGTGTTTGTATCAATCCGTATATATTACTACATAATATGTTATTATAATTGAGTTAATGTATCCCATTATTCATGACTTTTGCATCTCATATCGCATCAAATACTACACTATATATGAGTTTTTAGATTCAAAATCCGAAAATTCATTGCTTTGAAGCAGAGATTAGTTTTTGTCAAATGTATGGCATATCGACTCACACTCGCTGTCTATCTTCATAGATATCTCTAAATCTATGCGACTATAGATATGTGAGCACTAAATACACTCTATATTATTAGTAAAAGCAATGAATCTTTCTTTTATAAATCAATAAACGAATATCAAAATTATGTTCACATTTATTATTATTATATTTTCTGACAATTCAATGACTATTGGGTTTTAAAAATAATAATTAAATGTTGTCTCGATATGTGATAACGACATAACGATTTGAATAATCATAAAATTAATAGAATATTCTATGAGTTAATGCATTGACTGATTGACTGACCCGAGGAATAGACTTGAGTGCAGTCACCGACGCGTTTGTCGATGAGGTCGTGTTGAGGCAATTCAATGGACTCGTCGACAGCCAGTGGTGTTTCTGTCTCCCAATCAAACACCAGATCATCGGTTGTATACGAAACTAGAGATTAATGTATAATTGATTTTTGTGTGACAATTGTGTGACTATTAATAATTGAATGTGTGTTCAAAATTTGATTGTCTATTCGTCTGTGGTGTTAATTCTTGTAATTCTTATTACTATATTCTCAATACAAGACATATCAATGAAAATAAATGCAATGTTTAATGTCTATGCGGTTTGTATGCTATGTTTACCATCAAAATAATAATTGTTTGCACTAAATATTGCAATAAATTATTGCCTTAAAATCAATATTTTTGTATTAATACTACGAATAGTCAAAATAACAATTAATTTAAAAAATAGTTATTTATTAAACACAAAACCTTTAATCTGTTATTTAATAAAAGTTCATAAATATTAATACTGTATAATCGATAAAATATTTATCACTTAATATATATCGATTTTGTGTGCAAACATCAGATTAAATGCTTAAATACTGTTGTTTACAGAATATGTATATTAAATACTCTGATATTGACTAACAATTAGCGATATTTCACAGAATATTCCATTGACTTTAGGCAATATTTGTTAATAAAATATATCAAATAACTAATTTGTTGCATAATATAAATATGTATTTGTAATGATAAAGTTTTAGTATATTGTAGAAGAATTTACAATTAAGTGTAAATGTATGTCATATATAGAATTGCATATAAATCTAATACAGAATATTCTGTATGTATACTCACGCGACTCTATTTTCATCGTACAGTTTTGTGTGTCGTGAGGATAGGATTGAAATTTCATTGCACACGACAACAGAAGTGTTAGCCTGTCGTAGGGTTGGCCCAAATATTGCACAAATAAATTAAAAATAATTAGTTTTCGCATCAACATAGGATGAAATCTGTAATTTAAGTCTTGATTATATAATTATGTGATATTTAAAAATATTATTCTTTATTAGTATTGAGAAAATGGCTCATAAAATAAAGCTCAAGACATACATACAGACAACGCTGTATAATAGCGTTATATTTAAATATGAGTGCAAGTAATTTGAATATATTTGACAGATTGGACACAACAAAAGTTCTCTAATTTGACTGTAAATAACTAATTATTATACAGTATTTTATGTTTCGATGTAAACGCCTGGCTATCCCTCATATTTGTGGGTTGTATAGAGCGGGCAATTATTGTGCAACTATTTAAAGACAATTTTAATTTTAAATTACATCGGATGTAGTGTTTTGTCTTCTTTTTGTTTGTTTTAATCAAATTTATGTTTGAAATGAAAAATATTTTTTGTTTTTACTCGTTTTCCTCCATCTCTCTTACGATGCAATCCTTTCACATAAATTTAATGATTAAAATACCACACATTTGAGAGTCTTATTGATCGGTTAATAATATGCAGATTTACTCACAAAATCTCTGTATTTTATTGAAATCGTTTATTTTATTGATTTAGACGTTTTTATTTTTCAATATTATTATTACTTTCATGAGTGTAATTTAAATCGAGTAAAAAAACAACGTTTAATTTTGTTGCAAGTTTCCAATAAAGTTTACACAACAATAATAGATTTGTAGAGGAATTGCAAAGTTTCTCAAAATAAATAAAAACTTTATTTGTGATTACATTAAAACCTGGAATTCAAATCATGCGTTGAAATTCTTATGCATTATTTAATTCAGACTTATTTATAATGAATTATAGAAACTCTTTTTCTCTATAATATAATGCCTTTTCTAATGACTTTACTCTTCATATGATATTAATCTCAAATATACTTATTATTTATGGATTCTTTACATAAAATATTTTAAATAAAAGACTAATCTATTTAAGAATTGTATTTAAAAACAATTTCATATAAAAAGTCATTTATTATTATGAAGACTGAGTTTCAGGTAAAAGTTGTTTAATTTGTTATATTTCGAGATTTTATCTCAAAAATGTGATTTTTTTCTGACAAAAGCCAAACATATTTCCACTGAGATTTCAATGCAATTCTATTGTCGTTGTATTTATATATAGTTTTATGATTTATTGTTTTATTTCAAAAACACATTAAATACGTGAGAGTAAGAGTGAGTGAGTGAG